ATAAGTGATAAGTTATTTGAATTCGTTTCAGCAATTTTATCGCTGCTTGACAGTTCATTTCTTACCTTTGTGATTATTTGCTATCTTCAATTTTGTTATTAAATAATTTGAGGAATTTCATTATAATAATTCTTGTCAGTTGAAATGAAACCTTCCGTTTCATTGAGTTAGTTCAGTATTAAAAGAGGAGAATATCTCAAATTACGAAATATGCTTTAAATTGAAGAAGTCATTCATTTCGGAACAGTTCTTCATAAGTTTGTTATGATACAATTAATCTAGTGGTTGAATGTAATAATAGTTCGCACTAAATTTTCTATAAAACCTTTGACAAAATGCTGAATATTTTAAATTTCTCCTTTATTAACATTTAGATTGGCAATGCATATATAGCGCTTAATCCAAGAATGATTAGAAACCATTAGTTTAACCTGCGCTTAATGAAATGAAGAATTTCCAATGCACGACGATCCTTCTTGCTAACTTCAATATACTATTACAACTAGCAACACTACTAAAATGTAAACAAACTTCTGAATGTGATAAAGAAATACAAAATATTCTGAAATTTAAAACAAATAAAAATCATAAAATAAACTTTAGAAATGAGTTTTTGGTTCAATTTAAGAAGGAAAAAATATATAAATTACATCCAATGTAAGGAAGATGTTACAGAAAGAAAAAGAATGTAGTATTTGCATTAAATCTCAATGAGTCACGGATTCATTGAATCGGAACAATAACATAACTCATGCATGATGCAGAGTGTGATTATGGAAACAAAATAGATTAGATGAGAATGTAAACATGGAGAAATATTACTTCTATTTCAATGATATAATTGATATTTTTGCAAATTTCATCACAAAAGGAGATGTGACGGAAAGCACAAGATGAGAAAGTTTAAAATATTCTTTGAAACGGTTATCATGGACCTCATGAAATTGTCTTCTTGGCTCAACAGATGAATTGAAAATCAAATTTTCAAATAATATATTGAAAATGTTTGAGACAAGCAATGTCACATGTCATGCTTGCTTGAGTGCACTTTTTAATTTATAACTTAGTAAATTTACAGACAAGCAAAGTTCAAAGGAAACATGATAAAAATCACTTCTGTTAGCTGGCAAGTTGTCGCAACAACAATAATGACAGCAACACTTGGTGTCTACTACTTTCATCAATTTCATTCGTAATGACAAAATTGAAAAGTCCTCTTAATATTTTTTTCTTTTATTCAAAAAAAATAAAATTACCGACTTCTCCACAAGTCATTGTTTCTTCATGTCCGTATGCACCAAATTTCTGGATGTTTATTTGAATCTGGAAGAAGCTGGTATAAATTGTCAACTACATCATTTTTCTTTCAAATGATATATAATGATTAATTGGTCAAAATTTTCAAGCAAATTTTGGTCGATGTTTATGTTTAGAGGAAGTTTACAAGTTAAAGATTGATAAAATGTTTCAGAGTGATGTAATTTGCAATTTGAAACAACCATCAAGCGTGTGTTTTCAAAATGGAAATTATAATTGCCATTAAAAGGAGATGATGTTGGGAATTTGGGTGAAGGCGCTGAAGTGTAATTATTTCACGGTTCGAAAATTCCTATGCAAATCCTACTCTTGAATATTTGTTTATAGCTTAGAATAGGTTTATTCTGCTCTCAAAAGTTTTTCCTAAACTAATTGTCAATCTGCGAATAATTGTTTTGAAAATATGTATCACTTCATTGCTATGTATTATTGAATGTATTGTCTTACCAAGGGTAATATCTGAAAGCAATGAAAAGCACACGTCTGCATTAATCATTTCCTTTATTTATATTATGCGATAATATTTGTATACATTGAAATGTTACGCTGCTCGTATGTTTTATTTGGATTATATATAAATTTGCTTGCATTTCTTAAAGAATTTACAAATGTTGAAGATTCTTCTATACTCTCATCATTTGTTTGCCGTTTTCTTCATATTCCTTTTTTATTTTCTTTCATTCTTACACTTTCATCAATCGGTTACAAGTAAAAATGTGACGCTCACTTCGATATGGTGATAATTTATGGTCAATTTTAAACAACTCTGTATTGTAAAGTTGAAATCCCATTCTAAAGTGAAAAAAGGATTGTAACTGAGTGATAAAAGTCGCATTTATGATAGAGAAGTTTGCATTTCTCAAATATATTTAGGTACGAACTTTCTGAAGCTATATCATCTGTTTTCTGTTCGTCATGTGTGTCGTTTGGATATAACGGTGTTAGCCTCCTTGAAAATTGTTATTGTATCTTTAGATGTTTTCTGTTCACTTAAATAGTTTATCTGTGTCTTTCTCAAAAATTTGTCTTGTCGCACCTTGCAATGTTGTATACCGTTATTGCTGGCATTTTCATGATGCGCTACAGTATCAAAATTGGTTTTGGTTGGAGTGCCTGAATGCACTTGCAACATTGTCAAACTATCAAAAAAAATTAAGGGATGGAACTCTTTTATTTTCAGTCAAAAGCTGATCGTTTGAAATAAATGACTTCGATGATTCTTAATGCAATATAATTCAAACAATTCATGAAGCATTTAAGTTTCCAAATATTGAAGTAATCTTTCATAGCAAAACAAAGACAATAGAAGAAAGATTTTGATTGAACGATTATACACTACATTTCTAGTAAGTCATCTAAGTTTGGCCTTTTGTAAAGTAAAATTATTGAAATTTTTTAAATAGAAAAATCATGATCATATTTTCCAAATTCGTAGTTTCTATTTCATATTTCTAATCAAGGTAAGCTTATCATGGCAGTTATGCCACTGCACCTATAATTAGTCATTTCAGTGAGATATCTTCATGGTAGTCCCACAAAATCGAGGTTGGAAGAGCTGACCTGGGAAAAAACATTGTAGGAAATATTTTTGAAACCTCCAAAAGACACAAGAAGGAAATATTCATATTAATCAGCTGATAAAAATTGACTAATTACTGACTTCCTAATAAAAAACTAAATTATGAGGAATTGTTATAGGTAACAGCAAGGGAAATTTTGCACCTTCCGTACCTCTTGATCACTGTTAGAACACGTATCACATTTATGCTATTAAATTTTGTTTGGGAGTAATTCTTTCAAATGTTTAGAATTTCTTTAAGTTTAATCAAAAATGATTGATTTAAATTAAAAAACTGGACTGAAAATGTATGATTAACTATTTTATTAATAACATTATGAAAAGAAAGCAGTAAGATAATATATTCCATCTGAAAAGTTTTTTTTGTACTGGTAAAAATGACAGCAACAATCTTATTTTTGCTTGGTGTCAAACCTTTTTGGAGTGAGAGAAATCTGTTTGAAAAACAGTTACCTTGTTTTTAACTTTAGGATTTCATAATTTATTAGAAAATTCAATTATGCCATTAAAGAATCTCGCAAAATTTGTTAGCTAACAGATGTGATGCATTTTGTCTTCCGCTAGACCATTTCTTTTTTAGCCAACAATATTACACCAACTTTCAGTGCAATTAATGAATTATTACAATTGTGCCTTTATTCTGCTTTTCTTTTCTGCACTGTTCAGGGAATTCAGTAAGAAAGTATTTGCTCAAATAGATTTCTGTCATTATCCTTGAAACATCATTTACTTTTTATTGTTTTATTTTTGGGAAGCAATGAATGATTTTGGATTTTTTAAGATCATTGAGAAGTTTGTAATATTTAAGCAAATCGAAATCGATGAATAATAACTTATAATAATCATCTTTCTCTGTTGGTTTCATAGAAATGATATTTATGATCGTTGATATCCTTTCTAGAAGGCATTACCTTTCATATGCATGAAATACTGCTAGAATACTAAAGAATGCTAAATATCTGGGGAGGATTTATCTCTCTGTACAGAACGATTGTTCTGAAGAGTGGAAAATATCGAAAAGATCCCATGATTGTTATACTTCAGCTTTTAATGATCTCTAACACTTGGCAAATGAATTAGCAGGAAATTCAGTAATCATGGAATCTTTATGCAATCTAATACAAAATTTTATTTATTATTCAAAGAAATACGGCATTGTTCTGCCTTTGATCAAATTTTCGATATGGGAAAAAATATTAAGAAAATAATAATTTAATATTAAAGAAATTGGCTTTATGAATTTTCGCTTCATATCAAATAATATATTTCTGAAAATTCCTATTATTTGAATAAATTATTTAATTAACAAGGTTTAGAGATGAAAAAGATGAAGAGGTAAACTGTGGAAAAATGACGAGAGTTGAAAGAGAGGAAGGATTATGCATAAGAGTTTGCCGCTTTGTTAGCAAAAAGAGAAAAAAAGCGGAAAGGGCACTTTAGGTCACATAACAATTGCACTTTTTATTCATCAATTTCTTTTAGAATGATTTTTTTACCGTATGCATTATTTTATTAAAATTTATTGAGCGTAATTTAATCTTTTATGTATTAAATTTCCAACAAACATTCTATTCTCTCATTCTATTTCATTCCTCCACTGAAAACTTTCATCTGTTTGAGTAAATTTAGATAGATTTGTCCATCTCTTTCTCTCTATTTTTCATCTGCTTAATCTCTGTCCAATATCTTCAAGTCTATCATACATTCGTATTCAGTGCTTAATCTTCATAAAACTTATCGGCGTATCTTGAGCATATGCTAGAAAGGCGTTGAAGGTCAACATCTTTTGCCGCTTCCACGGACAGAATCAATTCGCCTTTTGTTTTCAAGGCTATTCCGTAATTGAAATCGAAAAATTCCCAAATTTGATTTTAATTTACCGCTGATTATTTATGAGATGAAAGGAAAAAAACAAAATCGCATAGAGTTTCACAATTCGTTTTAGCAATAAAAGCATAATACCTTGAGGTAGTTCCATATACAACCATACTAATGCTGCTACAGAACGCCAACAAGGCGAAAAGAGAAAAATTGTTCATAAAAGGATGGAAGGAAAAGTTAATGAATATTTGAAAATGTATGAAGAATTAACAGTAGCTTGGATTTACTTGAACTGAGTATCTGTCCATCGTTGATTGATTTTATGGACGTCACCATCAATACATACACCAACTTTAGCAGCTGCAGCACGAAAAGAATCAATCCCACGTTCTCCATAAGAGCCAGTTATAGCGATTGCATGGACATAAGTCCAACCTAA